ATCAAAAATATATTGCGGAGTTAATTCTTCGCCACAATTGTTCCGAAATTCATAAAGATTATGTCCCGTTACATTAACGACATATATTTTCAACTAACAGTCACATATGATAAATCAATTATTGGAATATAATAGGTTAATAGCCATCTGTGCTAGATATAACTGTGGTCAATGAATGTACGTGCGTCCATCAGCTTAATTTCGATCTATTCAAATTAAACAGAAATTAGTTTGGCATTAATAATTACAGTTATTGCACATGTAAAGACACACTTTATACAATCGTATATATATATAATTTATTTTTACTTAGAATGTGGGAAGATGATTCAAATATCATTATCACATTTCAGAATTATTATTGCGCAAGAACTAATAATTGTAATAATTGCGATCCCGAAAAACGAAGCGAGAAATGGATACAGCTGTAAATTACGCGAACAATTAAATTGAACAAATTGCTCATTGGCATTGTTATGTTTCCCGCAGGCTTTACCTATATCGCGTTTTGAATTACTGACTAGAATCGAGATCGTGTATTCGTAGTAGAGATGATCTTTCTTCGTCAACGACCCCTTTCCTATTTCTACTCTCTATCTCTCTATGTTTCCCCGTTTATCGACTTTTAATGGAATCGAACAACCGGTCACTTTTACAATTAGCGGCGGAAGATCGAAAACTGTTGCAGTTGGGAAATGGATTTGGTACCGCGTCGGAATTTATCTGGCATCGCTCTTCCCGATCTATTCAAATTAAACAGAAATTAGTTTGGCATTAATAATTACAGTTATTGCACATGTAAAGACACACTTTATACAATCGTATATATATATAATTTATTTTTACTTAGAATGTGGGAAGATGATTCAAATATCATTATCACATTTCAGAATTATTATTGCGCAAGAACTAATAATTGTAATAATTGCGATCCCGTAAAACGAAGCGAAATGCATACAGCTGTAAATTACGCGAACAATTAAATTGAACAAATTGCTCATTGGCATTGTTATGTTTCCCGCAGGCTTTACCTATATCGCGTTTTGAATTACTGACTAGAATCGAGATCGTGTATTCGTAGTAGAGATGATCTTTCTTCGTCAACGACCCCTTTCCTATTTCTACTCTCTATCTCTCTATGTTTCCCCGTTTATCGACTTTTAATGGAATCGAACAACCGGTCACTTTTACAATTAGCGGCGGAAGATCGAAAACTGTTGCAGTTGGGAAATGGATTTGGTACCGCGTCGGAATTTATCTGGCATCGCTCTTTCCGAAATTCTGGTCGTTCGAAAACGATATTTCGTATGGTGCGCATTGTACATTTTTATTGATTAACTATGCATAATTAAAGTTTTTATAATAATGTCAAAACCGATACTCCACGGCAAATGCTTTTAAATATAATTATGTATAAAGATAAGAATAAACGAAAAATGAAATTAATGTAGCTTTTCAACTTGCGTTATCACGAGTTATAATTCTGTTTATATTTATCGAAATCTTTTCAATTATGATATAACGATTGCGTTATCTATACGTATGTAGATAAACACATTTGCGCGTGAAAGTTATATCACAGTTATATTATATAGGTTCACGAGATAAAATCGCAGCGAATTATATAAAAAAGCACGGGTGCATAGCGAGAACAGTAAGTCGCGGTCTTGTTGTGCGTATATATACGTATTTCATGTGTACGCAGCGACCATGGTCAACTAATGGACCTGTTACGAGCAATTCCGGTAAAACGACAATTGCGTACGGCGGTACAATGCGTTCGTATAAGAGTAATTCCGAATGAGCAATTCGATCAAAAATTCCTGCGTTTCGCGCTCGTGCGCGTTGGTGGAATAATATTTAGCTTAAATTGCGTTCAACCGAAGCACGCGTACGTGCGAGAAGCGGCGGCATCCAAACTGCATTTGCAGGATTAGAGTAGTCGTATCCGTTAACTGTAGTATCGTCGAGTCTCTTTTCTGCAAATTTAATTTTTCATCGCGAAAACTATCGCTCACTTCTCAGCTACATCTTGTCTCCGTTTCCTTCGCAAAATAAATTTTATCTGCTTTTATAAAATCAGCTTATATACTTACTTTAGAAAATTGCTTTGCTGTTGACTTATGATTTTATAATATAATTTATGATCACTTCTTTTTATCTTACCTTTCCCTATTTGTATTACTTTACATTTATTTTTATAATTGTATCAATTCTAAGATCTTTAAGTTATGAAAATTGTAGAGGGAGAGAGAAAGAGAGATGGAGACAGAATCACAGAAAATTATATTTTTATAACTTAAAACTTTATATAAATGTCCATGATGCAATTAATTCATTACTTTCGTTGAAAGTGAAAGCCCTGCACGGATCAAAGATATTTAAAAAATACTTGCTATAAGTTGCGAGATATCGCATCAACATTTACCGCAATAAACCACCGCTGTTCTTCTCCAATACATTCTTCTTTTAATGGCCGATAAAAAGTGCCACTTGATGATATGATATTTTATGATAGGATAGTCACCGTTTTAAAAACGCTGCAATAAAATGTCACGCGAGCCGCGAAATTCCGCAAACTCTCCCAGAGTGGTTGCGTTTCGGATTAAAAAGTTTTTTACTACGTGCGATGCGCCCCGACGTCGTAAAAGTATGTCTAATGATCTAGAAAGAGGGAGATGCCGCGCGGTAGCAAGTAGTAGAAGTCGAGTTTATCGCGTACCGGGACAACCCGTAAACGTTCGTCGGACAGACATTTTTCGGTCGTGAAACGATCGTATAAACGCTAGCATTAGCCCGGCAGCGCCGAGATAAACATTCTTTTAGCATCCCTCAGCTGGAAAATCACATTTTATTATTATCCATTAGTCTCGTCGTGGGATAGGCGATAAAATCGTTTCGGTGTTATCGAAACAATCAAGAACCGACGTTTGGCAATGTTTGACTATAAAAAGATAAGACTGAAAATTCTCGCTATCGACGCCGCCACTTGTCCATTCTCTCGCGAAGTGTGTGCTTATTTTTATTCAAACTCTCAATTTGCGGAAAGAATGCTCATAAACGACGCATCGATTTCTCCCCTTCGTATAGTCGGCACGATCGCGAAGTTCCGAGACCAATTTAGTACGGCGACGGTAGTCCCGCTCCAAAATCACATTTTATTATTATCCATTAGTCTCGTCGTGGGATAGGCGATAAAATCGTTGTTTCGGTGTATCGAAACAATCAAGAACCGACGTTTGGCAATGTTTGACTATAAAAAGATAAGACTGAAAATTCTCGCTATCGACGCCGCCACTTGTCCATTCTCTCGCGAAGTGTGTGCTTATTTTTATTCAAACTCTCAATTTGCGGAAAGAATGCTCATAAACGACGCATCGATTTCTCCCCTTCGTATAGTCGGCACGATCGCGAAGTTCCGAGACCAATTTAGTACGGCGACGGTAGTCCCGCTCCAGATAGCGCAACTCTAGGCGCCGTCCCTTTCCCAGGGCGATTCTCTTTTACGTTTCTCTCTCTCTCTCTCTCTTTCTCTTCCTCTTTCTCTCCGGAGGACGCACGACATCGGAGCAAAGCCGCGGCGCAGGTCTGACAAAGGAGCGCGTCACATCCATCCATCTTGCACCGGCCGTCTCTTTATTCCCGGGGTTAAAAGCGTAGCAGCGGAGGCAGTTTGGACTTCCCGCTGCACTAAATCCACTAATTTCGGTCACCGACTTCTAGCCCAGTGCATTCGTGCAGCCGCCGCCGCGTCGTGCGATCGATGACGGGAGAGATACGTCGCTTTTGCTCGACGAGTATAAATTTTGCGAGTGCAATCAGATCAGATTTTTAACATTAATTCGTAGAAGGCTGCGAGCGCCCGCTCAGGAACCCGATACAATTATCGGCAACGTTATTCTCGGCGTTTTAATTCTTTTACGAGAGATGCGCGAATTCCTCGCTCTAAAATCCGGGATATCCTGCTTTTTTCGACGCGATGGTCAAGCTCTGACCATTTTTGCATATCAAGATTTTTTCCAGCTACCGCATAAAGCTCGACACTCGACGCACGCAATACGTTATCCCTTTACATTTTACCTAAAATCTACGAAAGCCATTTTAAATGATGGAAAGTAGACTAATGACCCGAATTGCGAGAAGACTAATTACCTTAGCAGAACCGACCTAGAAAGAAAATATCTGCGTAACCGAGGGCTGCAATTTTCCTTTGCAAATTAACGTTTTCCATTCCGGCCGAGCAAGCGAGCGTAACTGTGAACTTTTTACTTAAATTTTAATACGAGAAACGCTAAAACGCATAATATTCATGAACGGCGAAAGGTTTATATGATTTTCTGCTGCTTTGCGATTCTTTATTACAAAATTACATGATTTTCGGTGCAAATAAATGATATGATTTTTAGTTATATATAAATATAATTTCACATTTTCTGCTTGTTAGTTTTTCAAGTAAATATTAATATTTTATATCATTTTATCTTGCTGTTAATATAGTTCTCCGCATAAATATCTCTTTCTCATTACTACACATAAATTTAATAACTCTTCATTATGCACACGAAGTGAAATTGAAGATTTGATATAAAAAAAGTTGCAAAAGGAAAAAAAATGTTATTTATTTAAAATTATTATTTTTTTTTTTTAATAAATGTATGTAATGTATCTAAAACATTTTATTATGAAAAACTGGAAGTAATTATACCTTTTATGAAAACTTTACATACATTTATACATACATAAAAAAAATTAATAAATTTTGAATTAATAAATATCAACTATAAAGAGACACTTGCAGCCCTTTTCATATCCAATCCTCCAATGACGGAAAAGAAGAAGAAATTATTTTTTCCGCGAAATACGCAATGAAGCGACGAAATCTCAAAATACATCTGAAAAAGCAACCTTGCCGCGTGTCCATTATACGATATAGGCACAAACGATAATTTTATTGTGAGCCGAGTCTAATCAGAGAATCCCGTGTGATCTTTTGTACGCAGGTCCACCGACGATCCTGGTGAAGCCGCAGTCGCAGCAGGTGAAGGCAGGCGGAATAGCGAGTTTCTACTGCACTGCGGAAGGAGCACCGCCGCCGCAAATACACTGGCGAAAGAACGGCAAGAAAATTTCACGTAAGTCCGTGTTTTCGCGAGATTCTCTCTTTCTTTCTTTCTTTCTCCATCTCGGTTTGCATCGTCCGCGAAGCGCGTCGCCGCCCATCCGTTGAAAATGCCCAAGGGTGCGCTTTTTGGCGCTCGTATTTATAACCCGCGCGTCCTCGGGATGCGAAACATGGGCACCGCGGTGAAAATGAACGGGATAAAAATTCTATCGAAATTAAAAACTTCTCTAACCCAGATTCTCCCGCTTTCTCGTCCATCCCGTTTTACCGTCTCGTTCGTTCATTCTGCCACATTTTTCGTTTATTGCGCGTCCCGCTTACTCTCGGTCTCGTTACGTTTCTGTTCATTCAACCGAGATTTTTGCGCCAACCAATAACAAAAGCGACAGCTCGACGTTAAAATACTTTCTAGCTCGAGTTACTAAGATAATAATTCCTCAAAAATGGTTTCACGCATAACGTTTGAGCTAATCTGTGAAATATATGTATCCGAGCGATCACAGATCTGTTATTCACATTCGTGGACGACTCGCTAATCCGACGAGGAATATTCGACGAGATAATGGCTAGCGATCGCTTGTAACATATCCTGGACGGACAATTCGCACGGGGTGAGCGCGAGCGGATGGGGAGAGGAGAAGCGGGGGAGAGACGATAACAGGGGCGGGCCCCATCCGCTCACGAAATTTATACAGACGCGCGATCCAATTCCCATTCAATATTTCTCGGGCCGCGGAATTGGATACGAGAGAGGACACACATACCCCCTTTTATTAGATTCCGCAACGGCGCAATTTTCGATCTTATATACCGCGGCCCGGTGTGAATCGTCCGCCCGTTGCCACCGCTGATCATTTTCGCGCGCTCTCGATCGCGCCCGGTATTTTCTCTCGCCTTTTATGACGGGAGTATTCCTTTTCACGGAGCGCATACGTCCGCCTCAATCTTTCGTCTTATGTCGACAGAATCCCAGTCTCGCTACGGGGTGCACCAGTATGCAAATGGTGCTTTACTGCGGATCGAACCTGTCAAGCCAGGGCGCGATAATACCGTCTACGAGTGCCTAGCTGAGAATGGAGTCGGTGACGCTGTTTCGGCCGAGGCGACACTCACCGGTTACGAAGGTAAGTGAGATTGCCATTATATTATTGTTCATCTGCATCTCAAGCGAATATTCCATTCTTCAACGAGGAAAATTGCATTTCCGAAACGAAAATTGCCTTTTACAATCAACGCTTTGCTTTTTAATTATATATAGTTCTACTACTATATTCAGAACAAGAACAAAGAAGACGGATCGTTAATCTGTACGTCTTCAAAATTTATTAATTTTATTATTACTATTTTTCTTGCGTTTTTCGATTAAATAACGAATGTTATTAATGAGATTCAAACGTTTCTTTCAAACTCTATTTTACTTATAAAATCAATCATAAATTCAATCTTTCAACCATTCTTCTCCTACGCGCACAAATCTGTCTCTTGTTTGCTTAAAAATCTGCGAATGTATATTGGTCTACCCGAAAGTTATATAAGAAGTTTTGCAATATGCGACGAGTCGCGAAAGTTTGCAAAGTATATATATTACATCGAGGAATATATTATAACATAAGAGGCGCTGTTATTACGATAATTGTGATTACTTCTGTAAACAAAGCAAGCACATAGATAATAGAATCCTCTGCAAGTATGAAAGCATGCAGCAAGGATTTTCCAGAAATAAATAAAACGTAACAATTTTTATGCCACGGATTCGCGAAGAGATGTATCACTCAACCTTGTCGTGTAAAATTTTGCTTTTACGATGGCACCGCATGAAAGAAGGAAGAAAGCATCCTTATTTCGAAACTACATGCCTGAGCATAATTTTCGTCAGCAAGCTCATGCTCAAAAGGACTACGTTACACGGCACGGCGGAAAGTTCTAGTTTTATCCTTCTGGTAGAGCGAGAAGGGTAGTAGCGGTGCCGAGAGGGAGCACACGGTTTTGTGTTTTATAACAAAGTCACTTGCCTTGGCAACAGTTTTCCCGGGCGATACCGCGTAATAACTATTAGCGCTATCGGGGACGTCGCGCTGCGTTGTTTAATATTTAAAGGAAGCTTCCGGGACAGCTGCCACCGTTTGGTAATGTTTGAAGCTTTAAGCTTTCTATCCCGCAGTTTGACTGCGTCGCGCGGATAACGGCTTCGAAACTATTTAGTGATTTAAACCTCGCTTAAATGTACGTTAAGTCTGCTGACGTGGATGGGTATACATCATTTATTTGTTATTTATATCCTTGAATCGACAATCTTGCACGGTTGTGACGCTCGACTACATCATTCCTTAATCGCTGCCTCTTAAACTAAAATCTTGAAATTTTTTTAGCCACATTAATACACGATTGAAAAGTAAAATATATATTACAATATTTTCCAAATTTTGATTTTGTCTGGTTACATCAATAGATAGCGAGGTGAATCTTCTTGAATTTAAACGGAAATTTTCTCTTCCTGCTTTCTTCATTACGCGGTATTTATACGGAAGAACGAGCAGCTTAATGGTGTCCACTCTTTGGCGACCAGATGGTAGACATAATAAAAAAAGAAAAAATCGCTAAATCGTTTACCCTTTTCTCAAAAGAGAATCTCTTAAACTTTCGCGAAACATTTTAACTGGCCACTGGCTTGCGGCCAGTTTTATAATGTGATTCTAATTTTGCCCCGTGATAAATCTTTGCTCGTGCTTCCCGCATGCAATGGAAGAGAGAAAAAAAGCATTCGATTGCCCTTCCCGTTGTAGCGTTTTCCAGCTTTCTTCATTCCGTCTTGTTTTCGTTCATCGATAGTGCCAAGCTGGGTGATCCAATATGCGCATCGAACTTTTTTTTTTTTTAACTCGATTGTCGGACATTTCCTGTCAATGCTGCTCGCATCCGGCGAGCCGGTCTGACGGTTCCTCATAAATCACGAATATTCACTTGATTCTCCGAAACCTCCGCCACGATTTCAATTTATTTGTTATAAAGTTGATTCTCTGGCCAGATGAGCGTGTTCCCATGGGCGCAATAATGTACGCGCGCGTGCGCAGGTCACCGTGAAATCAGTATTTGTTAAATTGATCGTCAGTTTTCGCCGTGTCGTTTTATTCGCGTCCCTATTTTATTTGCGGATCATTAATGCAAACCGACCGAGAGCGAGCTTTCTGATGAATGAAAATAATTTCAGCGGAGGCATCTCACAAAGCAAAATGCATTTTATATCGAATGCGCGACATCATTTGCTTCGCGTTTCTATTTACGTTAAGAATAATTCACGCTCTTATCCTAGCCTGCTGTATGCGAAAGATTTTTTTTTAAAGGGCGAAAAAAACTTTTGACAAAACACATAGTTAATTTCGCCTATGTATTCTTGAATTAAAGGCCAAATTAAAGTTGTGCGCAATGAAAAGAGGTGATCGCCGAGCATGTTCGCTAATTGCACGCTAAAACGCGAGAGCTAAACACGTATTTTTTCGTTGAAAGTTCACCCGACTAATCGCTGACTCTCGGTAACGTGCGCGTGTGCTTTTTTTTGTCTGTACATTTTTCTAATGTGTCGCAAAATTGCTGAAGCACAGCTTCCTTTTTTTCGTGGAGACTATTTTTACGTCTCGTATAAAAAACTTTTAGAAACGATTATCCAATATTTTAAGCAAAGTTTTTTAATTATAAAAATTGTTTAAAAAATGAAACAATATTCTTGATAAGCGATATTTTCACAAAGTCTATGTGCTACCCTATTTATCGCCACACGTAAGCTCATGTCAGCCATATCGACCCCCTGCTGTACGTATACCACACAAACTTCGTTATCCAATCCATTGATACGATAAATACCTGCAAGCTCGCGGTAAAGCCTCATTCGGATAATGCGATTAATTGTTAGCCGAGGCATGTAATGATATAATGACGTAACGATCGCGTGGTTATATGATACGCGAATATACAGAAAACAAAAACGCGCAAACGATTAGTCAGATAAATGGAAATATTGACCGACCATCTACTGCTTTATTTGTTTAATTTGTCATACTTCAAAAATACACATTCTTTTACGTCGCTTATTCGATAATGCTGCATCGGAAATGATATTACGCGCGCTCTATATATATATATATATCGTATAATAAGTTATTTTTGTTATAATAAAATTTACAAGTTTATCAAAGTATTTCTGTCTTAAAAATATTTTTTGATAAAATATAATAATAACATATTTTCGATAATTGCATCGCATCTCGTGTCTGTATCGAACAAATTGAACGCTTATAAAACCACACTAGGAGAACTAGTGCAAATGCGATGTGATGCGCCAGAAACATCGGATATAATATAAGAATCAACAGACATTACGGGAAACACCCGCATTGCCGTAGTAGAATTTTCATGAGAATATCCTTTCTCTTTTCCTCCATCTTGTAGCACTACCATTCTTTCTTACGGCAAAAATCTGAAAACCATTTCGAGATACGTGGCCGGGAGCATCGTACTGGCTTCTTGTTATCGTTGCGGTTTTATTCCGAGTGTCTGCTCTCTATCGTAATCCGGGATCGCACCAGCATCGCGAATTATTTGTCAATCTTATCGAAATCATAAAAATACACCTTCAATGGCAAAATAATACCTTGTAAGTATCTTGATAAAAAAAAAGTTAGATTTCAAGAAATAGAATTATAATAACACAAGCATAACATAAATAAAAAATAATAAATTATTTCTTTACCTTAATTTTTAATACATATAGATATATATTTTCTGAATTTATATTTTTCTCAAAGCAACTTACATTTTCTTTTAACAAAGACAAGATATTTAATTTTATTATTTCAAGGAATAAAAGTTATTTTGCTATTCAAATCATATTCGTTTTTATTGATACAAATCTATTAACTTTGTCAAAGAGCAACACCTAAATTCGTTCTTTGAGCAAGAACATTAAATAATATCTGAGTTTAATACAACGGTAATTGCGCGCCAACAAGTAATAGAATAAAAATTTGCACGATTTACGTGAGAATTTGTCGTGATGGCGACACGGCAATTCCTCGCTTTAGGATTCCCCGAAACGCGGCTGCAGTTCTTGCGCGTGCACGACAAAAACAGATTGTTGAATTATTGGTTGCGTTTCTCTCGACGGGATAATGTCGTTTTCCAGTGACATGTTCTTGGATCGATGTTTCCCTTGTGCGAGCAAAACAACGCACGTCCGAAAGCTCCGTAAGTTTCGACGGCAAATGGAAGATCCGACAATTCTCTCGTTTTCTCGCGTTTTCGTTGCAGGGAAAGTCATGCAATGTTAAAGGCGGGATTGTGTGTCGTGTCACGTTTTCATTCCCGGGGCGATTCATCGCGCTCTACCGCTAAATGCACAAAGTATATTAACCCTCCTGATGATGCTGCCCCAATTTTGCGTCCCCTGCAGCGAGTTGGAATTAAATTTGCACGAGGACTAAGTGGCGTCTTTGGTTCTTGTAGCCGTGTCGAGCGAACTATCCACTTCGTTCTGCATTCTCCGCATTGAAACGTCGAAAGTTCGATGGGAATTACTCTCGCGCCTCATCTCCCTTTCGCGTTCTCTTTCCGAAACACTATCGCGAAATAATTCTTTTTGGAATGTCGTCGACCGCTGAATCAACGGAAGCGGAAAACGATACTGTTTTAATTGCTATTGTACAATCGACACCCGATGTAAGAATGCGATGAACGGTCGATGGTATTCTGAATGGAAATTGCGTTAAATCCTGCACAGACGCAAATAACGAATGAACAATGGCTCTATGGCGAAACGCGCACTGTGTGTTACCTTATTTCTTCCGCTTTGCCGCAGCTCGCAGAGCGGTAATTAAGAGAGCGTTACATTGCGAGGATCGATGCGTTGCGATAACAGCGGGCATTATTTTAATGAGACGTTGTAATATTCATTTAAATTTCTTATTTTTCTGCAAATTATTCCTTTTTAGACTTTAGCAATCTTGCCAGATTAAGAAGTTTATTGCAAATTGCTTAAACGAGATAACTAGCCACTTTTTACATCTAGATTTTTGTTTAATCTAGATTTATAATAATTCTTTTTTTTAATGAAAAAATTTCGGATAAAAAAATT